GAATATGATTTTTGGATCTGAATTTTATGAATTTTTAACTTGCTATGTAGACGACATTTTAATTACCTCAAACACATTTGAGGAACACTTAATGCATATTGATAAAGTCTTGAGTAGGCTAGCTGACTGTGGAGCAACAGTTAAACTAAAGAAAACAGAGTTTTTTAAGGACGAAGTGAATTTTCTTGGTTTTGTCTTGAGTAGGGAAGGAGTAAAGATGGACCCAGAAAAAATTAAAAAAATCCAAGACTTTCCAGAACCAGATTGTTTGAAAAAGCTGCAAGGTTTTTTAGGCCTATGTAATTATTACCGGACATTTCAAAGAAATTATTCGTTTTTGACAGCTCAGTTTAACCATATATTAGGAAGTAAGAGCAAGTGGGTCTGGGGTGATAGAGAAAGAAACACTTTTCAACAGATTAAAAATAAATTCATCGAGTCAGTAATTTTACGACATCCAAACTGGAATCAAGCTTTTTACATTAACACAGATGCATCAGATATAAATGTAGCGGCAATCTTGTATCAATACAACGAAAAGGGAGAAGAAAAGGTAGTGTGTTTTGCTAGTAGGGCACTAATCAGTGCTGAGAAGGGTTATACTACGACGGAAAAAGAACTTTTAGCTGTAGTGTTCGCATGTAAGAAGTTCAGGTCATATATCATAGGACATTTTAAGGTTGTAGTGAGGTCTGACCACAGAAGTTTGTCTTTCTTAAAGACTTGTAGGCTCACTCATGGCAGACTGCTGAGATGGAGCTTAGTGTTACAGGAATATAACCTTGAAATAGAATACGTGAAGGGTAAAGAAAATATACCAGCTGATGTTTTATCTAGAGCTACTGATGGTGAATTCATCACCAAAACAGACATGAATACAGTTCACATATATAAAACTAATTTAAAGTTAGGAATAGAGAATAGGGAAGTAAAAAAATTGTTAAAAAACCTAACTGAAAAACAAAGACAAGATGAAAAAATGAGAGGTATAATTGATCAGTTGAATGAGAATGATAAAATTAAACAAAATTTTGTAATGCATAACGGTATTTTGTTCCAAAAAAGCAAAAAGAATGAACAGTACAGAGTTTGTATACCGGACTGCCTGAGATCAAAATTAGTTGAGTTGACTCATCTTAAGTATGGACACCTGGGGGGTGGGAGGATATACCTGTGTTTGAAGGATTTTTGTGTATTTCCAGCTATGGAAAAGAAAATTAAAAATCAATTGAAAACATGTCTACTTTGTCAAAAAGCCAAACAAGTAAATGTCAAACAGATAGGGAACCTAAAGCCTATAATCCCAGAAAGAGTGAAACAGTTGATTGCGGTGGATTTGATAGGAGAGTTGCCCATCGGCCCGGGGGGTGTAAAATACATTTTTGTATTAATAGATGTATTTTCTAAGTATGTAAAGATGTATGCTATAAAACGAGCAAATACTAGGACTTTGTTGACCAAGATTTTTAATAAATATATTCCAGAAGTAGGTGAGATAGAGTCTATCTTGAGTGATCATGGAAGTCAATTCACAAGTGAATTGTGGTACTCAACTTTGGAAAATTCTGGAATAAAACCAGTACACACATCAGTATATCATCCCCAATCCAATCCAACAGAAAGAATTAACAAAGAAATAAATAAGATGATTCGCATTTACTGTCACAACAAACATACAAATTGGCCTAACGTTTTAGAATTTATTGAAGGGTGTTTGAATCACTCGGTTCATGGTGTCACAGAGCATGTACCCGCAGAGGTCATGCTGGGTAAAGTTAACACTCATTTTTTAGAAAAAGTAATAGAATTTCCTAAGGGAAGAGATTTTAGTCATGTAGAATGTGTAAAGTTGGTAAAGGATAAGTTATTGAATAAAGCTCAGAAGAGAAAAGCAAAATTTGATAAGAAAATAAAGGCTGTGAAGTTTGCAGTGGGTGATAAGGTCTTAGTTAAAACTCACAATTTATCAAACAAGCTTAACAAAAAGATAAAGAAATTTTTTCTGCTTTTTACTGGTCCTTATGTGGTAGTTGAAATTAAGATGGAAAATGCCTACAAATTAAAAGAGATAAACTCAGATAACATAATAGGGACCTATAATGTTACGCAATTAAAGAAGTATTTTGAATAAAGCAAGTAGGAGATTTTGAGGTATTTACAGTATTTAGAAATATGTAGTTAGGAGAACACTGTAATACCATAACCTCATTGGTGTAAATAAAATGTCGACTTTATGATATTAGGGTTGTAGTCAGTAGGTTCAAAATGCTCTCTGTCTTTTCCTGATACCATGCTGTCTCTAAACTTTGCTTACAATTGACATTTATTAAGTATTTTGGTAGTTAGTTATAATAAGTATCTTGAATTGTATAATGTATATTTTAAAGGGTTTACGTCTTGAATTGTAAAGTAGGAAGTGTAAAAGTGTGCGCTAAAAGGTCTTCTGTGATGAATAAGCGTGAAGTGGGAATTTAAAAAAATGGTTGATGGCCTTTGAATAAAGAAGATAAACTTACATGAGTATGGATCAAGAAAAATAAGAGAAAAAGAGACATTCACAAATATGACACTAGAAGAAGATGAGAGAGAGCTAGACGACATAAAATGGATAGAGACCAATAATCAAGTAAGAAAACGCCAAACATGAAGGTAGGCCTATGTGTTTCATAATTTATTAGGCTATACTTGGACAATTCAAATGCCTTCTAAAGTCTGGTTTCAACTTAAGTGATAAGAAGCTCTCAGAAGAACGACAAGGAGATAGGTGCAACAGTTAAAGTGTCAATATATAATGGTATTTTTCTCTTAAATAAATGGATTTATTGATCAGTTGTTTACTCAAGATATCATTAAAAAAAAAACAATTAGCCTAAACCACTTAACAAGTCACTGTAAAAAACCTAAAAGTGACATCCCAAAAAAGCGACGAAGAACCAGAAAAAACATTCAGTGAAATGATTTAGCGCGTAGTGAAAAGGACAGACGGACTTAATTTTAAAATTAAGAGTTTTGATTTTGTTAGTATTTAGAAAGAAAAAAATGTGCTTTGTAGGATAAGATTGTATAAGATTGCTGACTGTGTATATAATGATATTATGTGTTAGTTATAAGAATTTTCTGATATGCTTCTATTGTTTGAAAATTTACTGATAAGACATACAAATGGTTTGTGTAAAAAAAAAAAAAAATAATAAAAAAAAATAAAAAAATAAAATAAATAGAAAAGAGTATAATTTATAAAAAAAATTCTAAACAGCTAGCAATTGAGGTACAATGTTTAGAAATTTGTTTAAAATTATGGGGGGTATTGTGGCAGGTCATATATCAATAGCCTATTTGCAAAACAAAGCCTAAATAAAAAATAGCCAACATATTAAAGCCTAACTATTTAATCAGTTACTAGCCTAGGCCTAGTTAGGCTCAACTAACTAATTTCTACTGTAAATTATGAATAAATAGTATAAACCTTCTGAAATATATTACATTAGTAGGAAAAATGGATAAAAGGAATGGTATTTGTTTAATAAAATTGTATTCTGATCCTCATAACATGTTAAAAATCTGCATTCAAATCATACAACCAAATCGGTGGGTAAAAGCGATCGTTAACGGCAAACAAAAAACCGTGATAAAAACCTAAATAATGATAATACATATTTTTCTGCCGAAATCGTAAATAATGGTAATTTAGAAACATAACCATAAAACATTGCAGACGGAAAGTTAGATTCAAATCAAAAAGGTGGATGACGTCAGAACTCGAGACACCAAATAGAACTAAAATAAAGAGGTTAGATCAAAGATCGGGAATAGTTTTCAATCATTTTGCAACGAAACTAAAAAAAAGCTGAGAGAAAGCTACATGCAGACAATATATTTGGACTAAACCACGTAAATTTCTAAGCCAATAGGATTACGAGTTGACATTCAAGTCGGTGTAGGTGAACAATTTCTGAAAATTATCTCGTTTTTAACAAAAAAAAAAAAGTAAGTAGAAGCTAGCCATCTTGAATCTGAGGCAATGAAGAAAAGAACTAACGTAACGTACTTCTCTTTCTTTATGGGATAACGAGTCAAAGGAAGTGGCCATAAAATTATGTTCTCAATTTTAAGAAATTAACAAACTGTTTTTAAACTTTGAAAATGGCATAAATTCTATTAATAAATCAACTACAAGCAAAATAGGCCTACAATTATTAATTGTACATTAAAATAAGCGAAGAAGACTGTAAGTAAACTATTTTGAAGATCTGCACGTTGACCAAATTCGCAAGTACATACCAACTTTTACAAATTGAACTAATATAAAAACTTTTGATAACAATCTATTAACCAAAGACTCCACTATAAACTCTATGATACCTTTCCCATATAGTTTAAGTCAGGTGTAGGTTTAACTTCAATTATCCCATCCATAATGTAGATTAATTAATTTTATCATAAACTAGGCTAACTCTATTACCTATTGTATTTAAATTATACCTTGGGCTATGTAAAATTAACTTATTGTAATTGATTCTAAAACAGTAAATAACTCTTTCCGTAATTGATGTTGTAAGTTATCATTTTCACATAGCTCCACCACGCACCCTAATATTTAGATAAAAAAAAAAAAAACGACCCTGAGATTAAGACAAATTAGCCTAATTAGATTTACGTATTTCAACCAAATTTTCTTTCAAAATTAATTTAGGCTAAAAAGAAGATAAATGCAACAGGTTAGGTAGGTTACCGATAATAAAATATATCTATAAAAGATATCCACCTACCCCCAGACCTGTGACGTCAAAATGACGTTGGCGTTTTTTCATGGGTAAATTTCTAGGGATAGAATTCCGGCGACCCCCGTGAATATGTTCGCTTTAACCAACTTTCCACTAAACACTCATTCATGACATTTGCATCAGAGCTTTTTGATCTCTATAAATTACAGGAGTTACATGTTAGGCATAGTGCTGAAAGAGATAGAATTTATCAATTAATTAGGCTACTAAACTTACATTTACATCTGCTCCCTTTGATATGAGATATTGAATGACGTGATCTTGTCCATAATCAGCGGCATAGTGAAGTGGAGGTCTACCATCAATTTCTTTATTCAGATCCATCTCCTAAAATTATAACCATATCTATACTATTCTACTAGTTAACGTTTGCGCACACAATGATTTCAAAAACGGCTCCTACAATTTCCTCTAAATTGTTAGGAATATCTTAGTTTCAGGCTAAAAACAATATCCATTCCAGCCACTGTTCTGGGAAAATTCCTTTTTTCGTTAAAAACATTTTCCCCTTTGGAAGCCATTAAAACTTTTTTTAGGCCCAACCTTTGGACATTTGTACTCAAATTCAAAGTCAAGAACTAATAGAAGCTTAACTTATTCAAAATTATTATTAATTCAACCAATCTATAATTCGAACATATTTTATATTTTAAAACAAAATTTAATTAGGCTTATATCACAAGATTAAATTCAAATGCCGCTCGATCACTCCACCTGAGATTAAGATCCTTACAGTAAATTATAACATTGAACAAATAATTAAAACCATTGTAATAGGCCTAGCCTAAAGTTTTTAAAGTAAATTCATCTCCCACTGTTTGTACAATTTATTGTGAACCCCCTTTTCTTTTCTTTCACTATCCACTATCAGTTTTGTATTATAATTAATAAATTTAAGTTTCAAATTTGTACATGGAGTTTCCATTGTAGACCTAAGTTAAAGGTTGATTACAAAAATGGCGCCCAACGTGGGGCAACAAATTTAATCTTGTGATCCAAATGAAGCAATTTTGAAACCTTAGAATGAGTTTTGTTAGCAGTTAAGATAGAGAAATAACAACTCACAATTTAATTAAAGAGATTTATTAAGTTAACAAACCATAACTGTAAACAATATCCTTTTTCCCTTCTTGTGTAATCCCATGCCCCATAATTATAATTTAAGGTCCCGCAATACCATTCCCAACCCAATAATGACTGACACAGTTGACAACATTCAAGTCCCCACTGACAATAATAACACTTCAACATTCACACAACACAGTTTGTTCGTAAATCCCGCACAACCCGACAACGTAATAACACAACACGAAGTCGAACAATCCAACAATCTACCCGGGCAAAATAATAACAAACTTTTCACCGAGTTTAATAAAACCGAAGCAGAAGTAAACATGGCAGACGCCATTTCTCAAGCAGAAACTGACACTGGAATTCGCCATCTTGAATGTCAAGGCCAACAGATGCCGGTCTTCGCCGACGACAATACCCGAACGCCACCGAAGACTTCCGATGCTATCCCGTCTCATTCTCCCTGCCAGCTGACTCTCACAAAGTTAAACAGTGACGTCACTGCACCTGTCAATGCCTCACCAACTAAGTCGACAGTCGTTACGGATGATTTTCAATGCAAATTAATTTCATTATTCGAACTGCTTGGAAATAAAATCGATAAAGGTCTAAACGAAGTAAAAAGCGACCTAAACGAAGTAAAAGCTGAAGTAGCTAGTGTTGAAAACAAACTTAATAAGGGCCTAAATGATGTCAAAAACGAGGTTAAAAATGAATTAAATACTAAATTTAACACTCTATCAGAAAATCAAAACAACATGCGTAAGGAACTAGACAAAATCCGTGCTATCCAACAAGTACATACTTTAGAATTACAACAAATTGAAAACAACATTATTAAAAAGGTGTATAAACAGAATGACGAAATTAGAAAAGAAGTGTCCAATATCGTAGCTAATGAACGCATTAAGACCAATGAAATCATCACTGACGAAAGTCGTAAAATTGAAACCAAACTAACCCTAAACATCAATGAAACATCCCAGAACACTAAATCAGATTTAGAAAATTATATAAATCTAAAAACCACTGAAATAAGAAATGAATTGGCACCGGTAGTCGAGCACAACCAAAATACAATTCGGCAAACAACAGAAACACTTAATCAAGTAACTAACCTCATACATGAACAAGAAGCTAAATTTACTAATATTAAAGCCGACCTTGAACAAAAGCTAAAACAGGAAACCGCTTTTCTAACACCTCAAATCCATGTAACCTGTGGAAATTCAAGCTTAACCAATGATTTGACTTTACCTAAATTCAGTGGTCGATCCCATAATCCCCTGGAACATCTAACACGTCTGAAGAGATATTACCAAAAAGTACTTTCACGGCAAAGCACCGAGCAAAACCCCATAGAAATCTTAAAAGACATTCTTGAAACAAGCCTTGAACACCAAGCTTCACGATGGTTTTCATTGGTAAAGAATGATTTGAAGTCATGGGAAGATTTTGAAACACAATTTATCTCGAAGTATTGGAATCGTGACCTTCAACGGGCAATCAAGCACAAAATCGAATCCGAACATTACAAGCCTGACGGAAAGTTAACTCGATCCGAGTATTTTATTGAACGAGTTATTACGCTACGATCCCTCACTCCAGCGCTGACTGAAGAGGAAATAGTGGCTATTTTGTCCGACCACTTTTGCTCACTTATTCAGGACGCACGACGTGTGCAAAATGCAAGCAGTGTTTACGAGTTTGAAGCACTACTTCAACGACAAGATCTACACGACGCAGAGAAACGGCCTAAAAATAACTCCAGTCCATCACCATCCCACAATAACCAAAATCGAAACGATCGTCCTAATAACTACCATAACAATCGAAACTACCAGAATCGGCCCAACTTTCAAGCTCAAAATCATTACCAGAACACTAATCCCCACCATACCTACAATCCAAAGATAGAAAAATCTCAGTACTATCAAAACCACCGGCCCCAACATAATCCAAGTTGGCAACCAAGAAATCCACCACCACCACAACATCAGCGAGGCAATGTGAATTACATGTCCGTTACTCAAAATCCTCAACGTAACACGAATCAAATACATGGCCGTGATTACCCAACATCAGAGCAAGTCCAAATGTGTAATTCAATTTCGCAAGTTCCTTCACAACACCGACCGCCTAACAGTACGACACAGCAGTACAGCGGGCAGCTGCCTTTAAACGGGTAGGCGCTGTCGAAACTGCCGGTCTGTATACAACACTGCCAATTAACGACAACAATCTAGAATCTTCAGCGCCTGTGAATCAAATGGGACTAAACAGACCAAATAATCAAATAAATAATTATAACCAAAGTAACATAGAACCTTTACATATTAACACAATTTGTTGTAACCGTGAATTTTTATTGAGTGAAGAGACAATAGATGAACTTTGTACTAACAATTTTAAAGCAAACTGCCCAGAAATAAATGTCAAAATAAGTAATATTCCCATCTGTGCTTTAGTTGACACAGGTTCTAACATTACCTGTCTAAACAAAAATTGGTTCAACGAAAATAAACATAAATTATCTGAATTTGAAGAACTTCCTGTAAGTAACACATTCATTAAAACTGCCACCGGAGAGAAATCTAAACGATTATCTAAAATCTTATTGCTGCCATTTGAAGTAAATAATCAACCAACATACATACAAACTTTGCTTGTACCGCACCTAGTAAGATCATTAATTATATGAACAGATGTTTTAAGCTTATGGGATGCACGAATCGACTTCGAACACAAATCAATAAATATAAATATTAATAATAATGATGTGAATTTGAAGTTTGGAGAGGTAACTATTGACGGAATATCTTGCTACATTAACTACAATACAAGTGAAACCTACAATTATGAAGATGATTTGATATATAATAATACAAATGAAATAAATACACATAGGTACAGTTCACAAACAAGCAAAACTCAAAGCAGCATTTCACCAGAGATAGTCAAAAATTCTCTTGCCAATAACCAGTTAATTAATGACGAACTACGTTCTAAACTTGAATCTCTAATACTAAAGTATAAAGATGTCTTCTCAGACGAACCAGGAGTTTGCAACAAATACAAACATATCTTAAAAGTTCAAAATTCTCAAAATTTTAAGAAGAAATCCTACCCAGATCTCAAGAAAACATACCATATCTATCGTTACCTAGATAGCGGGGATAAGGGAGTGTTGCACGACGTCCAAGTGCCACGACGTCCAATAATATTTTTCCAGTGCCACGACGTCCAAAACATAATTTTTGAGTTGTTGCACGACGTCCAAGTGCCACGACGTCCAAAAGTACAGTAACTGCCAAAAATATAGTCTTTCTACAAGCTTTGGACGTCGTGGCACTTGGACGTCGTGAAACAGCGCACTATATAATTGTAAAGACGTATCATTTGCACCACGTCCAAAGCCTCTGCCAGTTGCACGACGTCCAAGTGCCACGACGTCCAATCAATATTTGACTGTTGCACGACGTCCAAGTGCCACGACGTCCAAAGTGCCTGCACACTGTGAACACTGTTTGCCGACCTCAGTGCATACAGTTCGCATTGCAATTATTGAAGGCAACTAGTCCTAGTCAACTGTTTGAAAGTTGTCAACCGCTTCGTCTTCGATTAATGTTTAAATTATTCAATATTCAATGGTTCTAATTGAACTAATTATTGCATTAGCTTAAATTTTTTATATGTAAAATAAATACTATGTCACCGTAAAATGTAATGATGCAGTATTTCTGTTGTTATGATTGCATGATTGATTTCTACAAAATAGAGCTATGTCATAGAAACGAAATAAATAAATGACTACCTACACTATTCACTATATTGTATGATTAATACAATAAATTAATCACTAGCCCAAAAGTAAATATGGTTGGTTTAATGTGAGTAGTGGTAGAATTCTAAGTACTGCAGTAGAATAGAATTGTCATACTATATCAATTGGTAGCAAATTTACTCGTAAGATAAAATGTATGCACAGTTTTATAACAGCTGTAAGACTTCCCATTTAAGTACCGGTATCATTGAAATTGTATAACTTCCATTGAACAGAAATGAGATAAGTAGATATTGATACACAGATATATGAATTTTCATACACTTATAATATGACGAATTCAAAACAGTTTTATCCGTCAAATGTGCTAAATATTATGTAAACTATCAACTTTTTAAGCTACAATGATGTTACTACAATGGTTAAAAATGTTTCCTGTGAAACAGTGGGAATAATCTATAATATTAAAACG